GTTATTGAATCCACGACCTGGAAGCTTCTGGAGCGTTCAGCACCGTGCAGTCCTCACCTCTTGCTCGTCGAAGTGTCTGTGCATGTTGGGTACATGATCGTCGATTGGGTTTTGGTACTGGAAGCTGACCGCGTGGCCGTCCGCAAGAGCTGCGAGTAGTGGGTCGGGACAGCGAAGTCACCAAGGTCGATCCCTATCGTGGGCTGTCCGAGTTTAGCTTCCTCCGACGTGCGTGCTGCTTCGGCGGGGTCTAGTCGGTGAACAATGGCGGGGTTCGGCGGGCAGAGGCGGGAAAACCCATTTTGGGTCCGTCGCGGGTGCCACTTTGTCATTGGTTGTCATGGGAGTGGTCGGCGCAGGAGCAGCGTTTGTGAAGGTGGTCGGGGTGTTTGGTATGTTCAGACCGGCTGTGAATTGGTGAACAGCTTGATTGATTGTCTGCAACAATTTTGCAGAGAAAGCAGGTGGCGCCCCTTGTCTCACAGGGGGTTGTGGCAGCTGGATATTGGGTGTTTGTGGAATGCTTAGTTGTGGTATAGATGTTACTGGGACGTTCGACTGAGGTGACATAGGTTGCTGCATATTGATCGATATGGTTTCGGCCTGTCGTTTGCTCATGTCTCGCTGAGGCGGTCTAATTAGTAGTCTTGGACTTCACCAGCTGCGTAGGGGCCAGTTCGTCTTCCGAATCTTCTCCGACTTCTTCCTCTTCGCTCCTTACTGCTACTCCTAGCGAATCCAGTGACCTCTTCTCTTTCCCTTGACTCTTACGCTGTAGTCTTCGTGGATGCCCTCTATCCACCACCACCCTAACTTTATTTGTTTTCATGTCGATTTCGTTGCTCTGGGATTCGTGTATGTTGCCAGATTTCTCAAATATAGACTCAAATTGGCTTCTGAGCCTTTGTTGGTTTCTTTGCTTCTCTCCGACGTAGTCAAGATTCTCTCCGTCAGCTCTAACTGATTGGTGGATGCGCATGCGCTTTGCCGGCGGTTCCATCGTCCGCAAAAGTGCCTGTGGGCTGTTTGACGGAGGTCGGTTGAGGGTGATGGTGTTGGCGGTTGGCCGAGAGTTGCGACAACAGCGCTAGCTCAACGTGAAAAGCTGACGGCTGACACGACTTCCTCTTGTCGTGGTGCGGCTTACCGGCATGGGACCATGCGCCCAAAGTAAGGTCGACCCGCCTTTGCTGGTACAGTACCGCCTCCGCATCATAGTAATGACCCTCTACACCCTACAAATGGGTCAGACGCAAGACGTAAGCGTAATGAACACGGAAGAACTTACCCTGGATGCGAAGTGCAGCGCGCACTGCAGCAATGCGGCACGGTATCTGATGGCAATGATAACGACAACAACAAGAGTGATGACACTCGTAGGGCTGGCATGATGTCCCTCCGTGTGCGAGCAGCGCAGAGTGCCCTTTTCTCGCCAACTCGCGCTTGGTCTGGGCCGTCTCGCCAGCGTAGTGAAAACTACTCG